TTGTAACGTCTTCCTTAATGTAGTCCTTATCGCTCACCCCTTAACCACCTTTATCTAGAGACGAGACGCGTTAGATTTGAGCAACATCCAGCCGACACACTGGGGTTAAAATAGGAAACTAAAATGATACATATGACACACTCATATCCTCTCTCCCACCTCACTTCCTCACTTCGTTAACTTTGCGTATACTTGATGAGGTCCGTAAAAAACGTGTGAATTTCTTTTCATTTTTCGTTTCAGCATTTGGAAGTAAAGTCTGATGATCCAGAACCCTGTTAAAGGGGTTATGGTGAAATAACTTATTACATAACGTGGTCTGTCTTTTATTCAAACAAATATATATATATATATATATATATATATATATATATATATATACAAAACTGGAATACTGGCTAAAGAACATATATATATATATATATATATATATATATATATATATATATATATATATATATATATACAAACACAAAATCATGGTCATGGTTTTTGTTTGTAGGCTATAATTCTGTTCTTACATTACCTCTTTAGCCAGTATTCCCTGACGATCCGCGTAGAATACTCCGAAGGAGCCAGGCAAACCTACGTAGGTTTCACCTAAACGGATCTTCAGGGTGAAACTGAAGCACTCTAAAATTGACTACTCTGCGTTTTAGTCTTTCTACTCGTTTGGGTTCTTTTTTCTTTGAACTTGACGCTGAAGCACTTGACGATGGGTTTCGTCTTGTGTTAATGGTCTTGGCTTTTTCTTTTTTTTATTTCCAAATTTTTCCGATTTGTTTTATTACAAGTTGAGCTATCCGAGGTTTTCCAAACGAGTATTACCATTTTATATATATATATATATATATATATATATATATATATATATATATATATATACTTTAAATGCAGGTGTATATGTAATCCCCTCGAGAAAAAAAAAATGGACAAGGTTTATCTAGCTACATTTGTGTTTGCTTAACACCCACATGAACAGCTGTTATATGGAGCTGACAGTAGTAACTTTTTTTCCGTATTTTTTTTTTTTTTTGGTTGGGAGAGATAGCATAACTTTGGCATGATCAGCTGGTTGAACGAAGCCAGTGCGATCAAACCCTCTGCCACGACGACTTGTGACTTCTTGCTAACGTAACCATCGACGACTTCCGTATCGTCTAACCAGGCTTGGCTCAATCTGTGTGTTGCTGTGGTTTCCCCCGAAACTGCTGTTATCCAGAAGTCATCTCTTTGACAAATAGCCTTTGATGAATATCGAACCCGTGTCACATGGTCTGAAGGCAAAAGTATTAATCTCTCAGTCACTATATGCATATAGATAGATAGAGAGATAGAGAGAAATAAAGGAGATGGAGAGAGAGAAAGAGAGAATAGAGGGAAAGGGAGAGAAAGAGACGATCAGTCATGTTTTCATTGCCATTTCTACAGACCAACAGGCACCACGCCACTGATAAGTTGCAAATAGTTTATACTGAGGCTATACAGAGCGGACATTAGTTACCGTTTTTTTTGGGCGGGGGGGTGCATAATCAGGCATGATCAGCAGTTTTAACAAGACAAGTATGATTAAGCACTCTGTCATGATGACTTGTGACTTCGTGCTACCATAATCATCGTCCACTTCTGAAGCGTTTCGTCTAAGCAGTTTTACTCACAAGGCTTGGGTCAGTCCCTGTGATGAGGTGGATCTTCTCTTCAAGTTCATGTTATCTAGGAATCATTTTTTGGACAAACCGTCTTTGAGGAATTTTCAAAAGTCGAGTCTCATGGTTGGGGAACTCTAACGTATTAAACAGAGAGAGAGAGAGAGAGAGAGAGAGAGAGAGAGAGAGGGGTAGAGAGAGAGAGAGAGAGCAGGTAGAACGAGAGAGAGCGTGGGGAGAGAGATAGGGTAGAGGTAGGGAGAGAGAAAGACAGAGAGAGAAAGAGACGATCTGTCATGTTTTCATTGCCATTTCTACAGACGGACGGGCACCTCGCCACTGACACGATGCAAATCTTGCTGGGAAATTCTTTTATATTTCCTGAGTGAACGGTTTTGGAAAAGAAGAAATAACCCCAACAATAACAACAGAAAAATGGAAGAATATTAAAACAAAGAAAGAAAAATCTTATACATATATATATATATATATATATATATATATATATATATATATATATATATATATATATATATATATATATATGTATGTATGTATACAAAATGTCAGGTGAAGAACGGAGAAATAAACGCCTGATAACACTTGCCAAAAATGTTTCCAATAAAACCACAAAAAATGCCGGAAACAAAAAAATCAGAAAGAGTTTAAGAAAGAGGGAAGTCTTAAGTGAAAATAAAGAGGGGAGGGAGAAAGAAAGAACAGGCAAAAACTAAGAAAGCAGCCGAGTTAAGAAAAAAAAAAGTAATATTCAGCAAAGAACATTGTACAAATGGAATGTTTTAAAATTAGTAAGGCATTTAATAATGCCATTCGGAAGAAAATACCAAAAAGCAGTTGGAAATAAAAATAACAAAAATGGCCAGTCTTTATATCGACTGATGCTTCAACCTGATACCCAGAAAATCTAGCCAAAAAATGGAAGATTTTTTGGGCTATTTTACCATTTGCCCTTCACAACTAACCTTGGAGAAATTCTCATTCATTCTATTCTACGTGTTCTTTCTTTTTTCTTTCCGTTTTTCTTATATTGTTGTCATTTTTTTTTCTGTATTTTACTGTCTGTCTGTTCTTTTCGTAATATGATTTATACTTTTCATATTGCATTGTCGTTATTTTAGATTCATTATTCGACATTACCCCAGGAGGAACTATCTTTTTCTTTCTTTCTGCATTTGGCTTTCTTTCTTTCTTTCTTTCTTTCTTTCTTTCTTTCTTTCTTTCTTTCTTTCTTTCTTCGAACGTTTTCTTTTTCTTTTCTTTTCTTTCTTTCTTTCTTTCTTTCTTCGAACTTTTCTTTCTTTCTTTCTTTCGAACGTTTTCTTTCTTTCTTTCTTTTTTTCTTTTTTTTTTCTTTCTTTCTTTCTTCGAACTTTTTCTTTCTTTCTTTTTCTTTCGTTTTCTTTCTTTCTTTCTTTCTTTCTTTCTTTCTTTCTTTCTTTCTTTATTTCTTTCTTTCTTTCTTTCTTTCTTCGAACTTTTTCTTTCTTTCTTTCGTCGAACTTTTTCTTTCTTTCTTTCTTCGAACGTTTTCTTTCTTTCTTTCTTCGAAAGTTTTCTTTCTTTCTTTCTTTCTTTCTTCGAACTTTTTCTTTCTTTCTTTCTTCGAACGTTTTCTTTCTTTCTTTCTTTCTTTCTTCCTTTCTTTCTTTCTTTCTTTATTTCTTTCTTTCTTTCTTTCTTTCTTCGAACTTTTTCTTTCTTTCTTTCTTCGAACGTTTTCTTTTTTTCTTTCGTCGAACTTTTTCTTTCTTTCTTTGTTTCTTTCTTAGAACGTTTTCTTTCTTTCTTTCTTCGAACTTTTTCTTTCTTTCTTTCTTCGAACTTTTTCTTTCTTTCTTTCTTTCTTTCTTTCTTCGAATTTTTTTTTTTCATTTTTAGAAACGTTTTCTTTCTTTCTTTCGTGCTTCGAACGTTTTCTTTCTTTCTTTCTTTCTTTCTTTCTTTGAACTTTTTCTTTCTTTCTTTCTTTCTTTCTTCGAACTTTTTGTTTCTTTCTTTTTTTCTTTCTTTCTTCGAACGTTTTCTTTCTTTCTTTCTTTCTTTCTTCGAACGTTTTTTTCTTTCTTTCTTTCTTCCTTTCTTTCTTTCTTTCTTTATTTCTTTCTTTCTTTCTTTCTTTCTTTCTTTCTTTCTTTCTTCGAACTTTTTCTTTTTTTCTTTCTTCGAACGTTTTCTTTTTTTCTTTCGTCGAACTTTTTCTTTCTTTCTTTCTTCGAACGTTTTCTTTCTTTCTTTCTTCGAACGTTTTCTTTCTTTCTTTCTTTCTTTCTTTCTTCGAACGTTTTCTTTCTTTCTTTCTTCGAACGTTTTCTTTCTTTCTTTCTTTCTTCCTTTCTTTCTTTCTTTCTTTATTTCTTTCTTTCTTTCTTTCTTCGAACTTTTTCTTTCTTTCTTTCTTTCTTCGAACGTTTTCTTTTTTTCTTTCGTCGAACTTTTTCTTTCTTTCTTTCTTTCTTTCTTAGAACGTTTTCTTTCTTTCTTTCTTCGAACTTTTTCTTTCTTTCTTTCTTCGAACTTTTTCTTTCTTTCTTTCTTTCTTTCTTCGAATTTTTTTTTTCATTCTTAGAAACGTTTTCTTTCTTTCTTTCGTGCTTCGAACGTTTTCTTTCTTTCTTTCTTTCTTTCTTTGAACTTTTTCTTTCTTTCTTTCTTTCTTTCTTTCTTTCTTCGAACTTTTTGTTTCTTTCTTTTTTTCTTTATTTCTTCGAACGTTTTCTTTCTTTCTTTCTTTTTTCTTTCTTTCGTTCTTTCTTTCTTTCTTTCTTCGATCATTTTTTTAAATTTTTTTGCGATTTTATATTTTCCTATTCTTTTTGTTCGTTCTAAGTTTTGTCTTCGTTCATTAATACTTTCATATTTCATTCTTTTTACATTTCTATTTCTTTTCTTTCGTCCGTTTCCCTTAATTTTCTTCGTATTTTGCCTTCTTTTCGTAATTTTTATTTGTTTTTTTTTTCAGTTGTTTTTCTTCCCTTTTTTCTTTCGTGTTTTCTTTTATTCTAGATCATTCTTTCGCTTTCGTTTTTCTTCCTTCAATTTTCTCATTTTACATTCTTTTTTTTTTAATTTTTTCTCCTTTTTTGATCATTTTCATTTTGTTTATCTTAATTTTTCATTTTTATTTTTTATTTTCATTGATTTTTTTCTTTTTTTTCTTTCGTTTTTCCTTTCTTTATTGTTCATTTCCCCTTTCCTTTTTCTGCCTCCGTATTTTTCTTTTCTTTTATTCATTTTCATTTCTGTTTTGTTTCTCCTTCATTTTCTTTCTCCCTTCGTTAAGTTTAGCTTCCCATTTTTTTCCTTTTCTTCGGTTCATATCTTCGCTTTTTTATTACTTCATTCATTTTATTTTCCTGTTTTCTTCTTCGTTTTGTTCTCTCTTTTAACTTCGTTCATACACATTTTCTTTTTCATTATTCCTTCATTGGCTTTCTTTCTTATTTTCTCCATCGATTTTCTTTTTCATTCGCCTTTTTATTAATTTATTTTTCCAATTTCTGTCTTCATTGTGCTTTATATTTTTTTCCTTCTTTGTTTATTTTCATTTTCTTTTCTTTTTTTTAACTTTGTTTTCAATATTCTTTCCTTCGTATTTCATTTCCCTTACCACTTTTTTTCTTTTAGTTTTACTTTTTTTCGTTATTTTTTTTCTTCTTTCTTTTTCATTCACCAGCTCCTTTCCGTTTTCTTTATTTGTCTTCGGTCATTTTTCTTTCTTTTTTTTTCTTTCTTTTATTTTCTTTTTCCTTTCTTTCACTTTCTTTTTTTTTATTTTTCTCTTTCGTTTTTCGTTCTCTTTCATATTTTGTACACTCTTCATTAATTTTTTTCTTTTTAACTTTATTCTTTGAATTCTTTTTTTGGCGTGATTCTATAACCATTTTGATTTATGTAATATTTTTACAAAATATATCAGTAAAATAAAGTCTCCAATATATGTTATATATTTGGATTATGCAAAAGCTATCTATTTATAATCTTAGGGACATCTAAGAAGCGTATTTAAATTTTATATACCTATTGGGCACTCAGTCACGGTTGGTCCGTTGTTATTTTATTTTTACTCATCTCCACCACCCCCCGCCAAGCAAGGTACTAAATCCACTAATGGGTACCCTATTTTTGCAGCTTTGTGCTACGTTTGACAAACGTAGTGTAACGGTTAGCAAAGATCAATTACGACTGAATAGTGAGTTTGATCCTCACGAGGGGCTTTAGGGTCCCGATATTTTTCTGTTTATCAACATTTTGCTTAGATTTTGAAAGGCATATTTCTCCCTTTCCACTTCCATCTTCGTATTCCGGTACCACAGTTTATATTTTCCGTTCAAACATATTCCAGATTTTAAAACTCCTTTAGCTGATTGTTAATGGTATCTCCTGTTTGTAACTAGCATCTTGATGATGACCATACTTTCAATGTTCTTGTAGTTGGTGGTTTGGTCTTTATTTTTTTCGCTCGCTTTCTTTTATGCCTCCTGTCTAGGAGATACTGAATTTTTCTTTCTTTCCGTGTCAACCAACAACACAGCGTCATATAATCTAAATTCTTAGATGAAAACTTTTCAAATCGGCATCATTTCCTTTCCGTATAAAACGCATATCATCATCTTGCGGCCTCAGCCGAGATTGAACTCACTACACCTTTCCAGTATTCCTTATCTGTCATAGCTAATACTTTGATTGGTGTAGTTCGTAATCTTGTCAAATAGCTGAATTCTTGATGCTTCGCTAGGGCTATCAAGGGTGTTTTTATCGTGACACCATCACTAAATGGATTGCCAAGCAAGGTCTCAGAGAAACTCCATTCACCCTCCTCTAAGAGAAGGTTTGAATTCAGAGTTTTCCTTTTCCTAGACCAGTTGCCATCCAAGGCTATAGAACCCAGTCTGTCCTGCTATTTACCCATAGCTGAAGAAAGAGGATTCACACCTTTCCCAAGGGTGTTAGCACGTAAGTGAATGTAATGGATTCGACTGGAATTCGAACTCGGCTCTCCGATTCCTCAATCCAAGCCGCTATCCATTACTCCACCGTGCCCATTGGTAAGGCTATTCTCGGTGAACCGTGCAAGTGTGGTTCACATGCAGCAGCAAAGCCCATCAAAATCACATATGATGACGGCGTCGAGTGTGGAAGAACATGTAGAAGAATATGTTCCCTTTTCAGAAAGCGGGGAACTTCAGTCTAAAAGCGGAGCCGAGAAAAGGTTCCCGAAGAGGAGCTGATCTTGACGCACCGGAAGCGACTGTCGGCAGCAAAATTATTAATGTTTGG